AGTCTTAATCATACCCTCAAGTGAGTACTTCGTCCCCTCAGACCAGGGACACGTGAACGGTCGTTCACTTAGAGTTTATATACTCTTGGATGTCAACTTCCTCAGCGCAAGGTGCTGTGCGACCCCGTCACAGAAGTGGTCACGAAATCCCTGAAGTGTGCATCGAGATATTTCTTGCAAACGTTGTTCTTCAGTAAGAGCAGCCGATGGGGGCCTTGACCAGGCTGCCAAATCGTTCATGAACAGCGATAGCGTTGCAACAGCATGACGACAAACAACCTGAGGAACAAGCAGATACGTCTGCTGGGGGTTGTTTACAAGAGCAACAGGAGATTTCCAATATACAACAACCATCGAATGCGGTGGTTCGCCTTGGACTTTGTATATTGTTGAGCCCACAGCGGACACCATCGGTAGTTGCTGGAGCTTGACCGCGAGGTGTCGTTTTTCTCCGCTTGGGGTGCATGCTTTCGATAATCGAGACTTGGTTTTGAGGAGTCTGTACTGCTTTACCATCGGCCACAGGAAAACCAAACAATGTAATGACGAGCATATGAATATCAAAGCATACTAGTAGTTGCAGTATCTGTACTGTTGTGCTCACACCAGACTTTGTCAAACGCGGCTAGAGCACGTTGCCGGCTTGACAAGTTGCTTCTTCGTAGGCTTCTTTGAAGGCTTCCTTGCTGCTTTCTTTGTGGGTGTCTTGGAACGCTTTGGCTGTGTATTGCCTTCTGCTGTTGGCACGGAATGTGCAAATCGTTTGCCGCGAGGCCGGCCGTCAGCTGAATGGGTATTCTGGACTAAAATAACATAACCTTAGTTACTGGCCACAACCCCGACTATAACAATCCCGAATATACAAACCCGCTTGATGCAGGGGGAATACCATCACATTGGAGATGTGTAGACGCTCGCAAAGCTCCTGGTCAGTACGCACATACACCAACAACCCGTCCTCTGCATTGAAGAAGTCAATGCCTTGCTTGCCGCCCTTCAGTTTTCGACCGGACTTCAGATAATTATGGCTGTGATGATAAGCAAATCACAAGTCAGTCACTAGGCACACCATACTCATTACAGCCAGCGTACTGTATCTGATTCCCCATTGCAGGCTTTGCCGTCCAACCGTCCTTGTGTAGTAGAGACCACACAGCATTGAAACCCATCGCGAAGCCATGCTTTGCTGGCCCGCGGCAGAAACGAAGAATGAGTGGCGTGAGGCCATAGCGGCAAAGCGGAACCGATATTTGAAATTTTTCAAAAACATTGAGCCCGCCCTTGTCCACAGTACTTCAAGACATATGTTTCACAAGCCAATCGGATCATAGTATTAGAAAACGTGGGACAATCGAAAGCAAGGAATTGTTGGGAGAGCCGATGACTCCGTATTGTGGACTTTGAGCTATACTGAAATCACGTGTTCTTATACTATTCTGAACAGCACTTTGAGCTATACTGAAATCAAGTGCTCTTATACTATTCTGAACAGCACAAGACCGTTGTCCAACCCTCCGGGACTGGGAAGTCTACCTTTGGCATTGTGCGATCGGCTATTGTTTATCTGTACAACACAACAG